CGCCGCCGCCCGCGCACCTCCTTCACTTCCAGGTGCACCGTGCCCTGCCGGCCCGGCTCCGAGCCGCGGATGTAGAACTTGACGCGCATGTGCTTCAGCCCGTCCTTGGAGTATTCCAGGAAACTGCGGGAAGACCAGGCCGTGAGGCCGAGCTCCTCTCCCCGCCGCCGCCCCCACGCCTCGGCTGAGGTACCTGACGTGCTGCCTGCGCCCGCGCCGGGTGGCCTCGCCGAAGCCTTTGACCGGCTCCCCGAAGACGCTGATGACCTGCGGGGGTGCACGAGGCTCTGTCGGCCAGAAGTTCCTTAAGCGGCCGAGGAGCGGGGTCCTGACAACCCAGCGGCTGGCTTAGCCTTGAAGCCCTCCCACGAAGGTCGGGAAGTGGGGCCCTTCAGAGTGCCAACGTGAACAATGCCGAGACCACCCCCAAGTCTCACACAACGCAGAGCGCAAAACGGGAGTCGGCAGCTCCGCACCCCCGAGTCTGGGCAGAAAACGCAGCAGACTCGGTGCTCTCGTGACAGGGCCCAGAGCCCTCAGCGAGTCGGGCAGGCGGCGCCTGGCAAAATCCGACCGTCACCGAGGCTGGCGCGAGTGGCTCGACTGCTCACAGGCAGCAAATCCCGAGCACCTCCGCGACATCGCACCTTCCAGTCTGTGCAACTGCGTCCAAATGCTGAAACGCACCCAGGCTGCTGGCGAGTCTCACAGCAGCTCTCCCCGAGGACAGTGGTCACGCCACACCTCGCCCAGCCTGTCACCAGCATGGCGCTCCTCCCAGGTAACTAACGGGCGCCCCCTGTGAAGGCGCCTCTCCGCCTCCCTCCCTCCCTCCCTGTTTTCCGTTCACACACCCGAGTGCACCCTCGCCGCCGCCTTCGTCATCTCGAGCCCAGGGCAATGAAGAGGCAGAGATTGGAAGAAGGTGCACGGCCCCAGCTGAGGCTCCTCCCTGAAGTGACGACGGAAGCTGACCATACCCCGGGAGTCCAGCGATTCCGACACCACCTGCCGTTTTCTTTCAAGCTACCAGAACTGAGACGTCAACGACTACGACTTTTCGGCGTGGAGGCTTCAATCCAGGTGGCGATCGGGCTCCCAGGCTGCACTGCTTCTGTGACCCGAAGCTCGGACGCCGTCCTCCTGGCCCATCCTCCAGAGAAGGGAGGGCCGGCTCTGCCCTGCCCTGCCCTGCCCTGCCCTGCCCGCCCCACGCCGCCCGCCCCGACTGGCTTCCAGACAACCGTGTTGGGCCCAGGCTTGCCTGCTGCCCGCTGTCACCTGACTGAGCTTGCCCACCCCGCAGCAGCCTCCCCTCTGCCCACAGGTACTGGCAGCCGTCGCTACAGCCTAGTGGTGCATGAAGAACGCTGAGAAGGGCCTGGTGCTTCCACCATCAGGCCACGTGACAGGTGGGCCTGCGATCACAGCAGTCATCTGTGACAACCCGCCAACGACCTTCCTTGTACAGGTAGGGAGAAGATACCCCTCAGCCTCTGCCTAGCAAAAGCATCTGAAAGACTCAACCCAGAGCTGCCACCGCCAGCCGATCTTATTAACACATCAACGTAGGCGCTGGCCCCCATGTGCAGAGACGCTCACAAGTCGCCCCACCCTGCGCAACTCGGCCAGAGGGACTCACCTCGGGGTGGGACCGGCATATGTCCAAGGCTTTCCCGTATATCTTGTTAGGGCTGGATGATGAAAAAAGCTCTTTGAAAATAGCGTAAAACAGGCCACCTGAAAAATCACACAAAAAACAAGATGAAGCCAAGTGACAGAGGCGAATGGTGCATCAGAGCTGTGCAGGGCATCATACTCGCTGCGTCTCGGACCTGTAATGCTGATTCCAATAAGCACCACAACCAGGTAGGTGAGATCTCGGCCAGCTTCTTTCACTGTGGAGAAAAAACACCAGAGTCACAATGAGTCGGGCCCAGGGGAGGCGGCTGCGCTGGGCCAGGGGGCTGTGGTGTGGGGCAGCTCTTCAGAGGGGCCCGCAGCCAGGAGAACCTCTCAATGGCCCGCGGAGTTCAGGGCCTGGACTCCATGCTCTTTCATCTACATGTCACGTCAGCCCCAGGGACCAGAGGGGCCTGGTGCCCAGCGACACGTCTCTAGCAGCTGCCACACCGCTGGCTGCGCACAGAACGCGCGCGCTTGGCTGAGCCACTGTGAACCGAACAGGCTCGGAAAACAACGAACGCGAAGGCACCTTTATCTTTCCACAGGAATGAAAGACGAGCGTGCGGATTAAACAGCAGCCCAGGTGCTAAGTCAGCGCAACGGAGGCACGGCCAGGACACACGCCTGTGCGGCTCCGTGTGCACACCTGTGCCGCTGCACACCTGTCCGCTCGCGCTGCCCGCAGCTCCAGAGCCTCCGCACGTGCTCCCAGCTGAACGTGAGTCACCTCCTGGCGCTCTGTAGCTCAAAGCAGTCACCGTATTTGAAACACAGATTTCCAGAACAGGCATCGCTTACACGCGAAAAACAACAAAGTGCTGCCGAGGTGGCTACTATTTCTTCCACTCTGCTTTTTTTTCTGGTGAAAGCGCTCTTCAGCACAAGTGTTAATTCTTCAAGCTTTCCAGCTCGGCTTCTGCCCAAACACGATTCAAATAATAAACTTCTCTGTCCTAGCCTGGGCCACCACGGGCCTGACCCAACAGGCGCGGTCGCCAGCCCCTCGCCCTCAGCGAGGCTGGGGGGGCCCAGTCAGCCTTCGCTCCCGCCCAGGTTGCGTTACGCTGAGCACACCCCTTGCACCACAGAGCAGGCTGCCATTTCACGCCGTGCGGCTCCCGGGGCGCCGGCACACTGCGGCCCGCTCTCCCCACGGCCTTGCTTGCTCTGTTCAGTGCCAGCTGCTGTGCCTCAGCGTGTGCAAAGGCCTGGTCCACTCGCAGCCACACGCCTATAGTGTTTCCTGTCACTACTGCTCGGCGTGCTCTCCGCCGGGGGCTGCCGGCTGTCTGCCCGCTTTTCTTTCCTGTTAAAACTGCTGACGTATGTGCACTGAACGGTGTGGCTCAAAACGCGAAGTCACCCCTGCATGGTATCGCCGTGGTGTCTGAAACGCTCTGCTGCCTTTTTTGCAAGTTACTTGGGAAGCGCAAAAAATGAAGACACGCTACCTCATCTGTGGGAATGCTCTCCCCTCCCTCAAGGCCACACTCCACTTTTCCTACTGTCCTGTCTCCTGCACCTGCACTGAAGGTGAGCAACTGCTCTGAACGTCTTCAGCTCCACAGGGAGTAAAGTCCAACGCGTGCCTGGGCGCTCACTGGTGTTCGCTGACTGACCGAGGATGCGGCTGCCTCATCAGTCTTGTTCGGTCTACCCAGCCACCCTTCAGCAATGCCCTAACTTCTCTTTGTAAGCACCGTCTCCCCTCACCGTTTCACACTGTCTTCTTCCCAGTTTAGTGATACGGTGTCTGTGTTTACACACCGACTTCCTTGGCACACCCGCGAGCACCCAGTGCTAAGCAGGGAGAACGGGCGCTCGAGCACTACTGTGAATGGCTGTCCTGGGGCACTGGCCTGGGTAGCAGAGCCCCGGGGTTAGGAAAATGCGCACCTGCCAGCTGTGTGAAGCTGGTCACGTGCGCGTCACACACAGAAGGGTGTGGACACACCTCTAGGAGTGAGCATGAAGCTTAAGCGAGGTGAATAACATCTGGGAAATTTACGTGTGTACTATGAAGTCTCACAAGTAACGTCCTAAGTGTGTTCTCCACACCAGAACAACAGCTGGCACATAAATCAACAAAGCTGATCGCACTTTTCAAATGTGGGTTTGCATTTGAAGACAACTGCAGATCCGCATTCTCCGATTCTAAACCGTGTTCAACGGTTCTCTCTTCCCCTCGTGTGAACCGTTTTCCGTGTCCTGCACAGCACCGTGCAGACACCGCTGGCAGCCCGTCAGGTCTGCTGAAAGTCTGATCGCCGCAGGAGAATCCCTTTTTACCTTTCTGCGTCGTCGAGATGGTGGTCTCCCCGCTCTGACCTCTGTGCACGGACACTTGTTTGCCGCTGTCCTCCTCTGCCCCCCGGGCGCTCTGTCTCTGCGTCCAGATGGTTTTCTGCGTGACTGCAAGGAGACGTCTAGGGCGCAACGCTTTCTTCTGCTCTCGCAGCCCCCATCTCAAAGTGGGCTCCGTCTTCAGGTGCGCTCTGAGCACAAGGTGTGACGAAAACCACCGCTTCCCCGAGGCCCTGTGCAGCTTCTCCGTGCACTGCACAAGTCTCAAGAAAGTACAAATCATATTCACTGAAGACGGCTCCTGAGGGGAGACACCAACTGAGGAGAACAAAGCTTCACTGCCCAGCGGACGGGCGCTCACGTCGGTCCACACGGTAACGCCGCGCACAGCGGGTTTGGAAGAAATGCTGGCGTTAGCAGGCGAACTATGACAAGAATCGCAGGAAAGACGCTGACGCCCGTCCCTTTTCCTCTGCGATCCTTTCTACTTGAACCAAAGCGTTCTGATTGTCCGACCTGCGAATAAGGACCAAACTCTGCCCGCCATGCCTCCGCAAAGTGACCTGGGCAACCCCTAGGAATCCTGGGGACGGTAGTTCAACGACCTCATTCTTAACGGAGTCGCCCAAGCGGGGAAGTCATAAAAGACTACATCTCCCACAGTGCAGTGCGGCCGGAGCCCGCGACGGCGCCTTCGCCGCCTCCCAGACTCCCCCCGGGGGTCGCGGGCGCTCCCATTGTACGTCCTGGCGCGGCGGAAAGGCGGAGCAGTGTGTGTGTGGGGGGTGGGGTAGGAGGTGGGGCCCGGGGATTCGAGTGCTTCAAACCGGAATTTGCAAAATTCAGATTAACAAGTAGCAGAAGCGAGACCCATGTAAACTGGGGGGTTTCCGGTCTAATTGTGGCGCTGC